TATTGTTGTAGTCTTCTTATTTATTGTTATTGTCATCCTGTAAAGCGCTTTGAGCAGCCACCTTTAAAGGCGCTATATAAAATAAAGTTTATTATTATTATTGTACGTCTTTACAAAAAATGCAAAAGGTATACAAAAACACATACAGTATATATATATAAACATCCAATCCAAGAATTATAAACTTACAATTACATCTGCTTTTTGTATTTGTATTTTTGTAAGCCCAAGATGACCTTGTACAGATCAGTATGACTGTCTTTTTTCATCAGAAATTTCTGAAATAATTTTTAAAAAACTGCTGCATATCAGAATGTTAATTGTAAAATGATCATTTTCGAAGTGTTACTGTGTTATGACAAAAAAGGATATATCTGGTAACAAATGTTAGGATTTCTGTACATTTTACAAATTTATGTTTTGTAACTTTTACTACGTACAGTTTTTGTATATTGTGTACAGTTTCTCAAAACTTGTACCACCCTGTGTTTTTTCAGTCATGCTATTTTTAAAGGTTCTTTCCTAAACCAGTGTTAGGAAAGATCCAGTTAATGTTTCTGTAATGAAGTTGAAAAAGATGACTGTTGGAAAAACTGACCTCCCAGCCACACACACAGACTGTGAAACTAATGTATTGTTTCAATTAAGTCATATATACACTGAAACCAAATTAATGAATTGTACACAACGGTCGTACATACACATATTGATGTGCTGAATCATTGATTTAGTGAAACTAGAGTAATACACATGCAAATATATTGCCATCATGCAAACTCATGTCAAACATGAGGGAATTAAAAATGTCTGATTTTCACTGTTAAACTGAGGGTTATAAATCAGTTACTGTATGTGGCATTTCAACTGACATTTCTCAAATTGTTGTTGCCCCTGCCTTAATTACATTTCCTAGTTAGGTACAGATATGTATACCACCATCAGTTTGCACTTTTTCTTGCTGCATGTACTAAATGCTGTAAAATACTAGGCAAATTCTAGGTGATATGTTAATTCATATTAATACTCTAAACATTTTAAGGATTATAGGCAATGTTATGTGAAATATTTCAACTTTAACATTGATATACTGTACAAATGTACACTGTTGTAAAATACATCCAGTTTTGTGCCCTATTTATATGCTTGGCATTTACTTTTTTCATTGCAGTATACTTTTAATGCCTGTTGTTTTTTATTAAACCTTTAAATAAATAGGGTAGCAATCAGGTTTAAGGCAAATACGTCTTTATAAGCACGTGTCTGATAAAACTAAGAAGAAAAGACTAGCGTCTTTAATTCTTTGGAGATACAGTATTTGGACTACTTCATACTTTGTAATACATACTTTTTTGTATACTAATAATATTATTATACAAAATGCATTGTAGCTGTCAGTTTTCCCATGTTTATATATGCTTTTCTTCCCATCAAATACAGCAACCACCTGAATAAGATGTTGCAGCCTTTAGCTGCCAGTAGCTAGAGTAAATTTATGATATTGCTCTCTACATTAAAGTTTGTGGTGTATTGAATGTGGTTAATTTATTTTTCACGTTCTTGACCTAGGGGTAGTATCTACAATGCAGCAGAAATTCTGCAGGGACTTATTTTAAGGCAGTCGCTCATTCATCTTTTCAGTTTAACAAACAGTATTGTTTTCCGCAAAATATTTTTTTGTTAGTCAAATACTGTATCTCAAGTAGGAGTAATGAAAATGTAATTTATGCTTTAATATCACCTTAATGTTTATAACCTTTTTTGTTTGCGGTATGATTGGGTTTTGGTAACACCTGGTTTCATTAGCTACTGTAGATAGAGGCATAGATGAGCTTAAATTTCCTAAATGGATGTAATAAGTGTATTCGTTGTCTTGTTTGTATCAAGTTAGGCAATAGAAAAGGAATTTGGAGAAAATCCTTTGTGCCCTTCAAGTGGGTAGTGCCTACAGTTTTTATTGACTAATTTCAATGCTCCAGCATTAAAAAGTCAGTGTGGTACCCCCAATATTGGTACTGGAGTGCCAGTGTATCTGCAGGTTTTTTCCAGGGTTCTTTAAAGCAGCAACACCTGGAGAGCTGGGAAAAGTTGGTAAATTAAGAAAAAGATTTAAGTCATTAAAAAGCCCAACTGACCCAAAAACCTGAAGACACACTAGCCTGCCTGGATAAGTTTTGGGAAGCCCTGGTATAGTATCTTCTAAAGATCCTTATTAAACAATCCTTCCATTTTGGTTACTAAATCATTTCAGTTATTCATTTGATTACAATGTATGTGCTTATTAGGCTGTCTGACACTAAATCATGCATCTTTTTTCACAGAGCATGTGGCAAAAATTAAAATGATTTTTAGGAAAATGTAATAGAATAGTTTTATTTTTTTGGAAGATATGAAAAATACTGAAATTGGGAAATGAGTACAATACCAATTAAAATGCAGCAGCCTTTATGAAACGTTTAAAGAAAATATGAATATGTTAACACTTAAATGTGTCTAATAATGAGAAAGTGTCTGGTGTGTTATATTTTGCTGCTAAATTTAATCATTATAATTACCCATTATTTGAGAATACTGTATGTGAGGTTTACCCATTATCTGAGAATATTAGTCATTTTTAAAATCCAGATGTATTAAAACATGGATGCCTTGTTCCACCAAATAGTTCTTAGATATAGTACAGGTAAACTGTGTCTGCCTCAATAACTCTGTTATTCTTTTGTCAAGCAAATTGTACAAAATGGTGCTCAATTAGATATTTTGATTCATCATTAATTACATGTTCATTTCTCAGTTCTCTTGATGCAGGAGTTGCCCTGCAGTTTATTACATTTGAGAAATGTGCGCATCTCGATTTTTAGGAGGAAATATTAGTGCAGATCTAATATTTGTCAAATCGTAAATTACAACGTCGACATTCCAAGCTTTCTTTACCTTTGTGTTTCTACAGAGGACTCAGTAATGTGTGTTTTTGCATGTAATTTATCAATGACTAATTGCATGTTTTGCATAATAAGGTACACCAAGTGGATTGTGTTGCAGTCATTTGTTTAAAGAAATGTGTATGTCTATTTTAAATTTTCTTTACACTAAAAAAGTAAAAAGAAAAGAAAAAAAGAAAATTCCATGCCCTAGGGTGGTAGGCAGAATATTGATCTTTCATGAATCAATGAAGACAAAAGTTATGTAATTCCAAAAGCCTTTCCTTAACATATGCTTTTTTAAAATTATGGATCTTTAAAGGCATTAGGCTTGCAAGAAGATATCAAGAGGTTCTTTCCCAATGAAATTGGTTATGTCTATTCAGATAATCAAGTACACAATTCACCTAGTATTTCAACAATGCAAATTACATTCAAAATCCCAGTGAGGGTTACATAAATGAAAAACATACTGTACCTTTGATTTTTGGAAGTGTTGGTGTAGTTAGATGGCTCATTTTAAGTTTGCTTCTAATCATGCATCTGCCAATACTGGATCTGTTATAGCTTGCTTGGAATAATTATATGAATGTTTTTTTTTAACAACAGATATTTTTATCATGTCTTCTGAACTTGAAATGAAATACTAAATTACCATTTTGTTAGTAAAACTGTGCTGTAACACTTTTCTTTAACACTACAGTATGTATGTTTTTGGCTTGTCTTTGTCTTGTTTTATTTTGAAATACAATTTATTTTGAAATACTTGTAATGTTACTGGTTATACTGTAGGTTATAGTTAACAGTGGTGATTAAGTGTCTAGCTGGGCCAAAAACCAGCAGACACTGGGGTCCCTCTGGTCCAAGACTGAGAACCACTGTTCTTAATTGTATTTGTTGCATCTCCTACTCATTTGCCAATGAATCGGACAGACATTGTCCAGACAGACAAGTATTTTACCTAATAAATAAAATTAAAATTTTAAGTTTGCAAACATAGTATAATACATCCCTCTGTTCCCATCATGTGTTAATCATGTGTACACTTACTCAGGTGTTTTGTACATTAAAATACTGATTGCAATACTTCAAATTTAATTATATAGCCCTATGTAATTACAGTATATTGATAACCTATCAATATAATTGATAGGTTAATACATGCTTTTTATATAAAATTAAATAAGTTACTTTTATCTCTATTGTAATGCACACTGATGACACTAAAGTCTTATAATTTTTCCTTTCAATTTTATAATGGGCAAAGTGATTACATCATGCATTGTTAGTAAAGAATATGAACCATCCTTGGGGGAAAAAACACTGTAAAAATAAGTTTGATTCACATGAAAAATCACAAATGATAGAATCTAAATGATCACATCACAAGAACAGATTAACTCAACATTTTATTGCATTATAAGACAGCAGAACAGCATGATAAATATAAGAAAAAATATGAAAAGTTAGAACATTTAAAAATGCCAAATTCTTTCTCATAGAAGCATTAATTCAGAGCAATTCCTCAGATGGAAAAATGTGACCATTTGTCGTGCTTTGTAAGTCAGGCTTACGATGGTTAAATACTCTTTAAAGGTTCTCGGTGTAAATTCTATTTACATAAAATATGTATGCAATTAAATCAGGCCAAACTCATGCCTGCTGTTTTTCAAGTATGAAAATCAGATGTATCTAGAAAGTACATGCTTTTTATAGAGTTAAAATAAAATTTTTGATTTGATATTTTTTTCAACAAGCCAATTTTAATGAATACAGCTAATTTCTTATTTTCCCTTTCTGATGTACATCTCTGTTTTTCCAAGCATTAATTACATTTTACGATCTTGTAAGGTACAAAAGAATTAACTTAGGTCTTTTTTCCTGTAGTTTCCATCTAATAAAACAGTATTCATCTGTACAATTAACTATATGGTTATTCTTAAATTTTATATTGCTAAATTATGTTTTGAAGTATCACATTTAGACTGGAAGAAATACTGCTATTTGACCTTGTTTTAATGGATCATCACAGCAAAGTTAATCAATATTTAATTCCACACATTTTCTGGTTACCATGGAAGTTTATTCCTGTTATGCAAGTCACACAGAAATTAAAAAAAAGACAAAGAATTCTTAAATACTATATTTGACCAAATGCAGCTGGTGGGAAAATGCACCTTAAAATCGAGTCCCCCTCTTTCTGCCTTTCAAAAATGAGGAATATTTCACTACAACTTTCCTCTTGCTGTTTAAATAAAAAAAAAATATCTGATGAGTAAAAAAAAAGGTGACTAGTAAATTAAAGGCCTTTGCCAAAACAAAAATTGTTTTGGTAATTCCGGCCTTGTAATTGTAATTCAGAGGTACTGTGCAGCATGGTGGGGCTTTGCCCATAAGGCTTTGCGGTGTGAAATGAAACTTATTAGTAGATCAAGCAGGAAGCCACCACATAGAGCTTCACAGCCACTAAAGGATGTGTTAATTAAACTAGCTCTTTGTCACAGTAAGTTTTCAGTCATACGAAAAGATTGTTATATTTATTAAAGAAAAGGAAATTTCTTCTTTAAATCAGTCCCTTCAAGTCCAAAGCAGCCCCGTGAACCAAAATAATGTCATGACAATGCAGCATATAAGCTCCTTTACTAAAACAGGTATGCACTAACAGTGCATACTAGAATCTAGAATCTTGTATGCCACAAGACATTTGAAACTGAAAGTTCAGTGAAGTAGTAAAATACAAAAGTTGCATCTATGTCCTTGGTTAATGGAATACAAAGAACCACAGTTTTGCAAAGCTGCCACCTGGGAGGATTTATCCATCAGAGATTTTTTTATGCTTTGCAAAATCCATAGACCTTCAGTGTTGGAAGACTACATATTCATTGTTTGGTGGGAAAAGGAGCTGCTCCAAAGGGATCTAGCTCCACCTGTGGTGCCTGTTGCATCACACTGTGAACAACTAGTTCTGTGAAAGGTACAGCACCAAAGTCATCAGTTTTATTCCCATCTCCACTATGAAAGGCTCCATGCACAGAAATCGATCTGGGTCTACCACTATTTGAGCTCAGATCTCCTCTGTTGTCCCCCAAACCTTGGTGTTGTGGATGCCTTCCAATTTCTTGTGGATAGAATGGCTTTGCACCAAATGGGTCTAACATGGCCTCCTCAGTAGGCAAGGATGCTCCTTTGTCTTTCACATCACCAGGAGTTATGCTAATATTCTCCTTTGAATCTGATGTACTCAGAAACTCATTGCTACTCTGGGAATCCCTTCTGCCTACTTTCTTGTGTCTGCGGACTCGCTCTGGTGTGCGGAAACTTGGCTTTGAATTCTTCCTACCAGTTGTTGGGGTTCCGTGATGACGCTTACCATTGCCACCTCCAATGTCATGCTTTGTTCGCCTTTGTCTTGAGGACAGTTTTTGAAGACTGCGTTGTTTCATCTTTTGTTGTTGGGTAGTTGGGACCTCATCAAGAAGCACTTGACCAAAAATATCCTCCTTACTCTTGGTGACTGGCATTGAATGTCCAGGTTGAAAAGGAGTACAACCAAATACATCAACACTGTCAGGGGAAACAGGTGGGGTCTGACCAAGGGAAACATCTCCTGTCTTGCCTGTTTTAGATAAATTTCGGTTGAAAGGAGCTTTGGTGAAAACATCAAAGTCATCCATAGCCTGTTCTGAAGTTACTGTTTTGAATGGTGCTTGAGCAAAGATGTCTGTGTTTTCAGCTCTACTCTTTGATGGCCCAGTTCCAAGGAAGGGTACAGCTCCAAACACATCAACTTCCTGAGTAATTTTAGCCACCGTATTGGGTGAGTCTGGGGGAGTGATCAGGGATGTGCCAGACTCCCCTCTCTTAGTACTGTTTGTTCTCAGCAGGGCTTTTTCTCCAACTGGCCTCACTGCTTGAAATGTTCTTTTGCTCTGTTCATAATCAGAGTCAGAACTGTGCTTGTCTTCATCATCATCGTCCACCTCCTCTTCAGAGTCCATGAGCAGGGGCCGCTGTCCCAAGTTCTCTGGCTCTGTATCATTGTCATCAATAAATTCTCCATGTTCACTGTTCAGAGCCTCCTCGTCCTCTTGCTCATCTTCCTCACTGCTCTTTGGGGATGGGGGATCAGACTCAAAGTCACTCTCTGACTCATCTCCAACTTTCCTTGAAGGTTGTCCAGGCTGCCCAGGTTTTTTTGCGCCCTTGTGTTCCTTACTAGGCAGCTCTTGCTTCTGCACTGAAACTGCACTGTTTCCTGCAGGGACCTCTGAGTCTTCACCTAGCAGCTCTGACCCTTTTAAATTGGAACCTACAATTTAAAGAGACATAAAGTAGTAAAGTGTATGCTGTAATACTGCAAACCATTCGTTCTCCTTAATAATATATTTTTTATTCATTGCAAAAGAACTAAATCAACCCCTTAGTAACAGAAATGATTGGGCATATGCGATAATTATTTAATCAATTGGAAGTCAAATTTGGACAAAACTGAGAAAGAAAAACACAGAAAGGAATCAATATACCCCGCTTACCAAAAGAACAATGTCTTTTTGACATCAGTATTTTGGAGGCTGGATTAAGTGAACATCCACATTCACAGCCTGCAATTTGTAACCTGGCAAGATGATGTAAAGATCTGTATTTGATCTTTAATACACATTAGCCATGATGTCTCCCTAAGGACTGACAGAGAGTCATTACACCTAGACACCTAGAAGTGTCTAGTAACTACAGAACTCCACTTGTAGTGATTTATGGCATCCTGATTACATAGCACTACATTAATCAAATTCTGAGACCTCATGTGCTGCCATTGCCGAAGGCTCATCATGACATGATCATATCAGTGGTCAAAAAGTCTCAATGCTGCACAAACAAAGGCTGTAACAAAAGTTATCTTGCATGTTGAAAATATCACAAATTTCTACGTTAGACATTAGCCCCATGTGGTATAAGATGGGACCACATGTGACATTTAGACCATTGAATAGGCAAATACTTTATCCAATACAGCTTCTGAAGCTGAGAAAAGCCAGATTTTTTATTTTAAACTGCATGAGCATAGGAGAGGTAGAAGTGATGCAGATATTAGTGTATTTATGATTAGTGTAAAGAAGACATGCTATTTAAAATCTGTTAACAAAACTTTTCGAGACAAGGGTAAAAACTATTGATGGGAAAATTACTAATACAAGAATCTCCAGGCAGAAAAAAAAAACTTACTTCTATTATGTGTAAGAGTATGGAAGCTTAGAATTAGAGGACATGGTCTTTCTTAAACCATGTTAGAGAATATTGAACAAGCAACAGTTCACACAGAGCATATGATATTCTATCTTTTAGAATGACTATAATGTATAAGGTTTGTATATGTAGAATTAAATCAGGTGATGTTTAATTTCTATAATGCGCTAGCAGACATTATGAATACGGTGTTCAATTTTGGTTGCCACATAAAAAAAGTTATTGCTGCTCACAAATCAATACAGATAAGAGTAATTAAATTGTCATAAAGGAATATCCTGCACTGACAGACTAACAAAGCTGATGGGACTCCAAATATTCAAAATCCTTTTACTGTAGGTCAAATACCCCATCAGATTCAACAGTTTCTGAGGAGTAAACTAAGATACCAGGTCATTATGCTAAAGCCATTACCATATTTTGTTTTCATGAAAGATGAGATCCTCAAATCAATTAACTGGAAGCAACAAAAAAAAAAGCTAGATGATCCATACGTCATTCTCTCTTTGGAAACATTTGATGTTATAATTATATTATTGCCAAATATTAAACAGCATTATTAATTTAATCATGTTATGTTTACTTATGATTGGGTTGGTGGCACAGTGGTATGTTGCTGCCTCAAAATACTGGGAACCTGGGTTCAATTCCTGGGGTGCTTTCATGTGTAGTTTGTATGTTCTCCTTGGGTTTGTGTGGGATTTCTCCAGGTGCTCTGGTTTTCTCCCACAGTTCAAAGAAATACTAGTAGGCATCCAGCCTACGGTGTATTCTACCTTGTGCCCATTTCTTGCAGAGAACGACTCTGCCTCCCCTGTGACCCTTGCATTTCCTTTCTTTTCAGCATGGAATAAACACGTTACCTGTTCCTTTGCAGCCTACACATGCTGACACAGCGAAATATTCTTTAGTGTTTGGTACTTTCATCACAAGAATGCTAAAACTAAAGAGAACCAGAACAAACATTTATAAAACTGGCTTACAATCTGCTCCTGATGTTGCCATGATCTGCCTTGATTCATCTTTCAGGCATATCTCAACTGAATGTGGCCATCATAGCACTGTATGTTTGACTGTATTCTCATGTCAGGATTCATGTCAGGATTCTGAGGAATCCATGTAACCAGTTACTGTGACACAGCTGTTATTTGAACACTGGAAACTTTAATTTACTACTAAGAAATGTTCTTTCAGATGGAGTCATTATCATCTTTGAGGGCATTTTGTTTCATTGAGTTAAACTGAAAATATGTGCACATCTGCCAGGTTGTACTCTTTCTGCTTCCTGCACACAAAACCCTGAACCCTGAACACTGAACCCTATATAACACTTTATTCAGCAATTCAAATGTCCTACATAAGGAAATGTTCACACATAAGAACTATATACAGGACTTTCTTAAATCTTAATTATAAAAATCGTAAAAATGTATGCCTTATTTAGTTAAAAATATTTTACCCAAACCAAAATCTATCTTTTTACTGCAACAGTAGTATTGCTATGGCCAGTCAAAAATATCTATTTTATTTGTCATTGAAAATTATGCACATGATGCACTGATGGACATATACTTAAAAGTTTATTTTGAAATATACAAATAACAGTGTTGTACCTCTGCTTGCTATCTGAGGATACTCTTTGAACTGAAGGATTTAATTCTAGGAACAACTACACAGATGGACTTTGTTTTAATACAAAAAGATTTAAGGAAAACAATAAAAATACTAGATAGGGAGGGGGCACATCTTAAGACTGGAAACATGATTAAGGCTTTGTTCTTGACATTGTAACAATACTTCTTAGCTCTTTTAAATTCTGTAATACCAAAGGGATTTAGCATTAGTTAAATCTGGATTATCTGACTGTTCTTTTTATTTCCCAAGGTACAACCTTGATGACAATGTTAAACATTTTAGAACTCAAAAATCCTAACAGTTTGGAAAGTATTAGAACAGAAGGCAAAAGGCAAAGAATTACAGATGTCATATGGTCAGAAAGTTGTTTTCTTTCTGTAATATTGCTGTACCTTTTGATCTCTAAAAATAAACAGCAGTAAAGATTTTACATTATATGAAGGCACTACTAAAAATAAGAGTAAGAAGTAACTACAGCAATGTATAAAAAGTACAGTCTCTCGATTCTTTCACTCTACATATTAAGACATATCTTACCTTCACCTGGTCTTCACCTAGGCTTAACAATAGATACATTCAACCTAATGTGACAAATAACACAGATTTTACAAAAAACAATTGTTATTGTTGTTAACATTCAGCCGCGTGAAAAAGTATGTGCACCCTTACTGCTTCATATCCATTGAGAAGGTAATTAGAATCAGGTGATGCTTAATAAGAGCACATGATTAGCTAATCATCAGGTAGTTATTTTTTACTACCTGGAGCATTCAGGTGGTAACACATACCAAGAGGTATGTGGGTCAAGGGATATCTGTGACAATCTCAGAGAAAGAATCATTCCTGCTCATCAGTCTGGGAAGGGTTATAAAGCCATTTCCAAATAATATGAAGTCCATTTTACCACAGTGAGAAAAGATAAGTTACAAATGGATAAAGCCAATCTACTCAGGAGTGGGTGTCTCATCACATATACCCCAAGATCTGACCGTATGATGCTCCAAGAGATCGCACTGAACTCCAAAGCTACATCCAGGGAGAAGCCTGTATTGACAGGCCTCTGTCTATACTATATTTTACTACTTATTACACATTCAATGCATTCTCATTTAATATCCTTTTCATCAGCAGGTTAGTGGAGTCGGCGTGGGCACCAGGATGGGACCTAGCTATGCCAATATTTTTTTCGACTGGGTAGAAAAATGCTTCTTTGCTTCCTATACTGGCTTAGTCCCTGACCTCTACAAGCGATACATCAATGACTGCGTCGGTGCTGCTACATGCTCTAATGACCAGCTTGAGCAATTCCTGCATCATTCCACTAACTCTCAGCCATCCCTCAAAAATACAGTTAACATATCTTCCACCACTCTTCCATTTCTAGACATATTTTTATCTATTAACCATCCACGACTCTCTTCCGTGGTCTATTACAAACCCACAGATTCACATAGCTATCTCCTGTACAGTTCTTTTCACCCCACTCACACCAAAAAACTCACTCCCTTTTAGCAGTTCTTCAGGCTATGTCGAATCTGCAGTGACAACATGGATTTCCAGAACAAAGCACTCAAAATGCATTATTTTTTCATCAACAGAGGATACCCCACCCAGGTTATCGATACGACCCTCACCAGGGCCAAAAACAGCCCTCGGATCATCAACTCGATCAGGATCTCCCAGTCTCACAACCGCATTCTCTTGTTGCTTCCCTACCACCCTAACACACTTTCTATCCCCAGGACCATCATTAACAACTACTCCATTTTTCAGGATGATCCCTCCATCGGTACCCTTTTTTCCGACCACCCAATCTACATAAATTTTTTGTTCACAGCTCCCATGACCGTAGTCGGCAATCATCCCCACCAGGCACCTTCCCCTGCAATAGAACTCGCTGCATCACCTGCAAATGCCTATCTAACAACACATTCAGGGTCCCTCAGGTCAATTCCAGATCACCCAGATGACATCCTGTATCTCCAGCAACCTCATTTACTGTGTCTCTTGCAAAAATGCTGCCCAGCTATCTATTTTGGGGAAACTGGAAGGAGACTAAGATACTGCTTCAGAGCAAATTGAGCTGTGAAGATTAAAGATTTCTCTAAGCCCATAGTTTCTCATTTCACCTCAGACAGCCATGATCATGGCCATGTCTCTGTTCTCAAAGAAGGCTTTCTCAACTCCGGCAGGAGAAAGACAACAGAAATGAAACTTATCCTGAAACTAGGTTCACACCTTCCCCCGTCTCTCAATGACAGATTTATTTTCGTATAATCGTCTCTATTCTCATGCAAGTTTTGACTTTATATATTTCTCCCCCCCTCTTCACATTGCACTTCCTGAGTGGCCTCTCTTTCTTTTGTTTTCAGCATAGAATAAACCTATTACCTGTTCCTTTACACCAGGGGTGCCCAACCAGTCGATCAA